TCAAAGAGAAGGGGGCGGGCATCAGTCAGGGGGTCGCCCTGTTCGCTTCCCTCACCCTGCACAATTTCATGCGCGGTGCCCGAGCCATCGTACACGTGTGACTGCTGGGGGCTGCATACAACTGGGGGCATAGGGGAGCAGTAGCTGCAACGCCCCACTGCCGCGCATCCGATTCATCCTGCATGCCGCTGGCGCCCCAGCATGCACCAGACAGGCATGCATGTCATGATGTCTGTTTTGGGGGGCTGATTCAACGCCTTCCCAGCTGCACGGGTGCCGCCCTCGCCGTCCGCGCCTGCACCTGCAGCTCGGCTAATGCATTGTCCAGCTGCAAAGCCGCCTGCGTGGCCCAAAGCCATGGCCGACCCAAAGCCCAAACGCAAGCGAGGCAGCATATTTTGAAACCAACGCAAAAAGTCGCCGCAAATAGCGGCTGCTGCCTGCCGAGGCGCTGCAGCTGTTAACTACTTGCGCGCCCGCGCTGCTTCACGTGCCTGTCTCTGGCCGTGCCGGGTCCAAGAAATGTGCGCGGCGGCCTCAGTTTCTCCTTGCTGAATCTGGCGGTTCCAAACATTTTTCCCTGCCAGGCTTGCGGCTGCGTCCTTTCCAAAACTAGTTTCGCTTGCCTCCTGTACTCGGACAATGTGCGCGTACGGTCGCTGCCTTCCACTGGCCTGCGGCGTGCTGCCGCAGCACCTTCCCCCCTTTGCAAGCCACAGCCCTGCGCAGGTGCGGCCTCTGTTTGGGCTGCGCCTGCGGCCTCTTGCCTGGTCAGGCCGCTGTCGCAACTGCTGATACTCCATTGCTTGGGTCCTTCAGGATTCAGAAGGCATTCATATCGACGATCCACCTCCGTTAATTGGCCTGCTTATGGCTGCAACTGCCAGAAACCACGGCTTGCAGTGCTGTTCAGCCTTGCGTACTGAATGAACAATGACACGCCCATCCCGAGCCTCTTCTCCACCCTCGTCCGCGCTAGGGTTGCCCGCTTCCGCTTCGAAAAGGCAAGGCTTCTGGCCCCTGCTCTGCATTGTGTGTCTTGAGGAGCCGTCCCCGCCGCCCAAGGCCAGCGACTCGTTCTTTCCATGTTGCGGCGCCTCCGCGCACCTGCCCGAGGCTCTGCGGGCGTGCCTATGGCAATCACACTTCCATGGTCCTGGTTTTTTTCCCTAACTTCTTAGGCCATTGGTAAACGAAAAACACAGGTTAATTTTTCATGGAAATCATGTTGTTGGGTATGGGCGTAGGAAAAGCCAGGGTCACAGTCCTGAATGTTACCATTGCTGGTTGTAGCCTCCCCTTGGGACGTCGCCACGGAGGGATGGGAGGGGGGGGGCGGCGATGCTGAATGATGCTGGCAGAACAAAGATCTCAAACATAAACAGAAGAAATAGATCAAATAAAAATGGTGTTTTGTTTCAACAGCGCGAACTAATGGCTTCGCAAAAGCCGCATTGAGGGTTGCGGGTATACAGTTTACAGCCATGTTTGGATATGAAATGGATCAATTTCGAATATAGGATAATGCGAGATTTGACCACAGCAGCTTGTAGGGGTGTAGCCTGGCGTAGTGTGCTTAGTGTTGACTGGATGGAGGACAAACGTGCAGGTGTAAGGGTCCGAGAAAAAAGATTTCAGTTCCAATGGTTTTTTATCAGTTCTTAGCTCCTATATTCTATGCGGATCTATGCAAGACTTATTCTTGTACTTATGAACCAAGTTATAGATTTCTTTCCAAGAAAAAGATTCTCGACATTTTTGAACCTTCTGATGAAACACCACGGAAGGCGGATCATGGCAGCACGCAGCTCAACAACGGCGCCACGGCCCACCAGGTCGTGCGGGACTACAGTGCACGCACGCTCTCCCGTGCGGACGCGCCTGAGCCTCCAAAGCCGCAAGGCGCGCGGGCCCATTGTTGCGCTACGGGCCGGGAATGGGTTTCGTTGAGTTGCCCGATCGTACCATGCAGTGGTCACCGTTCCCGCACCGGGGCGATGAAGGCATTGTGCTTGGACCGGCATGTGGGCTAAAACTGTAGGCTGCCTGTGTGCAAATCCCTCGACCTCAGCTTTGCTGCAACCTCTGCCAAGTGCTGATGGTGGGAAGTCGACATGCGGGCAGTGTGCAGCAGGTACCCCCTGGCCGGACATACTCGCCCACTGTCCTTTGCTGCGTCCTTCCCCACGCCTACGCTCGGCCGAGCCAATGCCAATTATAATGAAGGTGTCCGCCCACCCTGTTCTGTCCTCAATGGCGTGCGCCTGGTTGATGCCTCGCGGGAAGCCGGCCCCGAGCGAGCAACCGCGCCAGCTCAGCACCGAACAACAGGCGGACACTTTCCATTGGGTCACCTGACGTGCCATTGCGGCCCGCCACATGTTCTTGCATGTATGTGCCGCTGTTGCTGGATGCTGGCGGCTTCTTGGCCCCAGAGGCGCGATGGCACGCCCATCCTGCATTTCCGCCATGGTCGTCCGGACAGCCCAGGCGCGGTTAGCACGACCTTTTTTGTCAGTACGCCATGTTGCTGATGTGGCACGTGACGCCGTGGCAGTTGCCAGTCCAGAACACGTTGCAAATTTCGCCGGCTTGTTTGCGTTGACCGTTGGCACTTCCCGCCCCATGACGTCTCTGGCGGAACCCTGAGGCAGGTTAGCCGGGTAAGCAGGGCTCCTAACATCCCGGGACCGCTGCGCCACCCACTCGGCACATCGGCTGCTTGTCGCCACTTGCTCGTTCATTTATGTGCTCCTTTTGCTGGACACGGCATGCGTGCTAGCCCCACCTACGTGGCAACATTGGCGCGAGGACCCAAGTTTTGCGCCATGGTGGGGACCCGCTGTTGACTTGTGCGGCCGTGCCCCAACAACCAGCAAGCTCAACAAACGTTCAAACGGATTCCTGAGCCAATTCACAATTTTTTAATAGTGTTTAATCGTTGTGAACGCGGGTGGAATCGATTTGGACGTGTTGCCTTGAACTCCTTTGAAAGAGTTCTCCTTACTCCTTGCCGCTTCACCCTTACCCCTGTTTTCCCGTGCTCGGTCCTCCCCTTGTATTTCATATTTTTTCCGAAATTTTACGGGGAGCCGGTAATCCCGGAAAATGAATGCAGAAAGGGAGATAACCCTCCATTGCGGCATTTTTTGCACACTTATACTCCAAATGGGTAGGTTTGCTACCAGTGTTTGGCTTGGGGGAAAGCTTGGGCGGGAGGCAGGGAGGCATGCGTGGCAAACGGGCATGGGGGTGATAGGAAAGACAGGAATTCGTTCAACGCAGTTTATTTCAGAACCCTGAGAAATTTGTCACATTGCTTAGGGAAGGCCCAGCAAAAGGGGGAGGGGGCGAGCATGGGGAAACGGGGGGTAGGGATGGGGCCGGAAGGGATGCAGGGGTGGCGAGTTGGGGAAATAAAAAACAACACCCAGATCTGGGATGACACCATCGTCTCTTCACCGGTGGGGACAGGCAAACCCCACCCATGCGTTGACGTCCAGCCGGGCCAGGCCACCACTCAGGCTGCCTTGCGGTCAACGCTGGGTGTGATATGTGGCACGTGGAAAACCTCTAACGCAACAGATTGAATCAAACGTTGTTTTTTTTTTCCACTTTGTTGCTTGCAAGCCAGCATGTCGATGCATGTCATTGGCACAAATAACCATGCGCTGCATGCAAACTGCAAATGTACATTTCTTGCTGCCTTGTATCATGTGATCAATGCAAACACTGGCAGGTGCCGCGAACGGGTGCAGGTGTGGATCTGAAAAGATTTGCAGAGAGAGAGAGAGAGAGAGATAATGATGATGGTGCAGCAGTGAGAAGAAGAAGAGAGATAATGAGATTCAAACATATACGAAGAAAATGAAAACGACAAAGAAGAAGAAATAAAAACAAATATAGAGATATATGATGAATCGGAAGGGTCCCCGGCGCGCTGGCCGTCGAAGAACGAGGTCGAAATCGCGACAGTACATGATGACCTTGTCCTTCCCATGTGCTGCAGGGCTCCGCGCCGGTGCTTGGAGGCTTCCTTGCCAGACCTGGCCAAGCTTCACATGCCCCACCCTTGCGTCAGGGTATGCTCGTGATTTCAGCAGCAATCCACAACAGAGACCAAAGTCGTCTCACAAGTTTGGCCCCCAGCCCTGAAGCAGAAAATCTTGGAACACAATGGCAAGTAGCTTGAGCAATGATTTGGGCTGAGGCACGCAAAGCTTTTAACCAAGAAGGCCGTCGAGTTTTTGCCTTGTGAATTAAAGCTGTGTTGACAGTACTCCGGAAGTTGCATGAGGCCAACGCCCAAAAAATGAGTCGAGGCATCGGGGCGTGTGCCCTCACATTATCGAGCGAATGAAAGTAATTATGAGGTTTGAAGCCTCCGCGTGAATCCCACGACCAGGCAGGCGCATAGTTGCCCAAAGTGCACTGTTAATGAATGAGACAGCTACATGTGACGGAGCAACGCTGCGGCATGCGCAGGCGGAGTTTTTTGCAGCTCAGGCATGGTTCCCGCACCCAATTACAACAAATGCAAGTAGAACTGTGGATCCGTGCAATTCAGGCTGCGATACCTGTGGAAGTAAGTCCTGCCCCAACCGTGGCCAAGCTTGGCTGCATCCCTGGCACCACTCCTAGTCTTTGATGCGTAACATGAACCAAGCTCAGGTGAATCCTGGGGCTCCGTTGTTCAGGCCCAGTTAGCTAACAACCTGCAATCCAGAGGCGTGGACACAAAATGGTGCACAGCAACAATTTGGAAAACGCAGTGAACTTGCTGACCCATGGTGCCAGGCTTGAGCAGGCCAACAGCATCGTTTTGACCTCGGAGCCGCAACGTTGCTGGATACATTTACTGAGTTCTAAGCCGGGCAAGGCAGAGTTGGGCAGTGCCATTGATGCTGGCCGGGAAGGACAGCGAACACCACACCGGTGCATGGTTTTCTGTTGCGCAATTTTGGGTTGTGTGCTTTCCGGCGCAGTGAGTCGAGGACGTGATGGTTTGTTCACAAACCGGCTCTGGTAAAACAGCCTGCTCCTCATTGCAATGTGTTAAAAAAGTATTGTATAATGCGATTCTGCTTGTTGATGCAGGTTGCCTACTTGCTGCCAGTGCTGCAGCTCTTGCTTGGCAGTCATTGGTCCCAGGCATTGTGACTTCATCTGGCCTATACTGGTTTGCGTGCCATCTACCAGGATCTACCATGCCAGACGTCAGTTGATCAGATAATTTCCGCTGGCTTTAGCCCAAGACGTGGCTTTCGTGGAAGAACCAGCTATGACATGGTTGACGGGCGCTGTAAAAAGTAACTCAGTTGTTCCATGAATTTGAAGTACGCAACACCTTGATATCGACGCGCCAGCTGAGCCTTGCAAACCTACCTCACCAAACTTTCTATGACAGTCCTCGCATTTTGCTGAATGCCGAGCTCGCCCTGCCTGCGAGACGCCGCTGTTCTCAGCCAGCCATGTGTCGAATGTGTGCGCTCATCTCCGATGACAGTGTGCCCGAGCAGCAGGGAATATTTTTCACGGCAGTCTTGCGGAGATCAATCCCATGATGACAATTTGCTCTCATGTTCGATTGAGCCTGGATGCTGATTTGGTTGGATTCTGCGACCCTATACGCAATCAAGGTGCTGTTGGCTGACGTGCTTCTTCGACCGCGCATGTCTTTAGTGCACCAAAGCTATGCTGCAAGAGAGCGGCGCGCACTACCACAAGGAGTGTCGCCAAGCACCCCCCCAGCAAGCATGCAGCAGCATGCCTGTGTGCACGGTAAGATGCGAAACTAAGGTATGGCTTACCAGCAGCCTTGCTTGATCCTTGTCCGATCTGCTGCAGTGATAACAATATAGAACATTGCTTGTTTTGGTAGGTTCCAACTTGTCAGATGCATTTTCTTGAGGAATGCAGACGGCTTCGGTGTCGGTTGGTATGCCCAGCAAGCACCGATACCCTGCGTGTTCACGTCGCTGAAACCCGCAGCTCTGTAGCAGTGAGATCTGCCAATGAGGTTGGCAGGTTATTGCATGCAAGTTGCGCAAAGGGGCCGTGCCAAGTTCTTAGGCTTGGAACGATCCGAATCTTCGCAATCTTTCTGAAGAAGTGCTTATTCTGCATATAGTGTAGGGGGGAGATCATCAGCATTCTTCCTTCTTCTGTCTTGCAAGGTGCGGTCACCCCTGATTTTTGCTCATATTCGAGCAGCGGGCCCGTGCGGGCCCTGAGCATGTACCGTTTTCCCTCAGCCAATCGCGTTGCTCCTTTCAGGTCCTCAAGTGTCAACGAAGCAGCTTGTCATCCGTTCAAAGCCGGCCGCCTCTCAGATGCGCCTTGAGGGGGCGGGGGCGGGGTGTCTCCACAAATGGTCAGCTTGTGTGGGCTTCGCTCGGTGTAGGACAGCATAGGACAGCCAAGGATTCCTCTTTGCCCACAATGGTCTTGTGGGGAACTTCGGTCAAATCCGTCGCCAGCTCCTAGCCGGTTTGAATGAGCAACTTGGCAAACTTGTTAGAAACCGTAGCTCTGGCAATGCTTTGGCTGCGACCTCTCGAGGTATGCTTTCAGCGTCACTCTCGACCATTCGTGTATTGACTCAGTTGTGGCTTTGGTTGCAAGCCTTGGCGTTGGCTTCTATTCATGCCCCACGAGAACTCTCTTGGTTGCACATCAGCTCTTGCTCCGAGGTGGCTTTTGGAATCTTCCTGACGGAGCTTGGGGTGTGCAGTGATGAAGATGCGACTGCAGAGCACACGGCCGACGAGATGTGTGGCGCTTTGTCCAGGATGCGGAGTGCTTGAATTGGTGTTGTAAGCGGTCCTGAGTGCGTGTGCCCACGTTTTCGTTATGCTGCTACGCTTCAATCTTATCTCCTTGACGCAAGCATCTGCAAACAACCTTGAATGCTTGATCGTTAAAGCCATTTGCCACACCCTGGCGTCGCAACTTCGGCAGAGCCCATGCGTGGGGCCCCCATGCGTGCGGGGTGCGTGGAGTGATTGACGAAGCTGCATCACTTTTTGGGTAGTGGATGATGCGTTGGGCGTGTGAGCCTTCTGTGGTAGGCAGCGTTGTCTTGTAATGAGGCATTTCAAGGCTCGTTTCTCTGTTCTCCCGCATTGGCCTTCAGGCTTTTCCTTAGAAGCAGCCTTTTTTTCTTGAGTCTGCCCGCCCAAAGCATTCAAAGAAGTTGTCGGCTATCTCAACATAGGCACTTTATGATCAGCCATGCTTCAGTCTTATTCCATATTCTTTCAGACCGAATAGACAGAAGCTGCCGAACACGAACATGGCTTGAGCAGTGAGAGAAAGCATCATAAGGCGCTGCGATACGGCCTGCAGTCACCTGTCTGCGCCAGGACAGTCCTTCGACTAACCCAAGCCGCTGCTGAATATGGACCTGAGGCCAGTCCACCGTATCTATGCCGTTTCTGCTAATCTCTGTGCTAGCATGAGAAAGCCCCGCCTTGAAGATTGAATCCCATTCTCAGGAGTCGCTATTGAACTTGATGGTGACTGCAGCTTGGCACAGCACTTCATCGCCAACTTGCTCTGAGCCTGCGTGCTCAAAATCCTTCTCGCGTGCAGTCTTCATCTTAGACATTCATAGATGGGTCAGGACGGCCAGCGCATCGTGGCTTGCCGCTATGGCACAGCGCCGAGTGAGGCTCAGGAAGGTGAGGATCAGCCGTTGGGCGCTACACTGTATTTAAGTATCACGACTGCATATTGGAGGCCGTGTTCTTGTGTGTAATTTTTCACTTACCTTCAAAGTTGCGATGTCTCATGAGGTGTTGGCTCACGGTGGGTCGCCTCGCCCGATGACCCTCAAACCTACCGGATGAAGAAGGGTGCAGCGGCCTAAGCGGCTTGAGCAATGGCATGCCAGCCATGTTCGTACGTGCAGTCGCACAGCTTAGGCAGATATCAAGAGCTGTACTGCGATTCTTTCTTCTGAGCCCTTGACCCACATCCGTGAAGAGTGGCTGCCCATAGCACCAAACAGCATTGTCCTTTGTGGTCGCACACGGGGCGAGGGCTACTCGGCTGCCGTGGCCAAAGGAATACGTGCTGTTTTTGGTTGGAGTGTTGCAATTGTATGAGGCCAAGCAATCGATACATTGATGTTTCCACTGAAATGTGGACCGGTGGTAGGCCTTAGTGCTCTTACCGGCATCTTGGCTGCAGTTGGGGCAGTTTTGTTTTTTTATTGGGATGCTGCCCGACGCTTTTTGCACAGTGTGCCAGCATGCACCAAGAAAGAGGAGTCCAGGTTTTCGCACACAGCATCTGGCGGCAGCATTACCTCAAGTTGTGAGCTGTTGCTCAGACCCTCGCCGCAAGTGCGAGAGTTACAGGTGTTGAGTCCGCGCCCAAAGCCACAAAGAACCTGCTGGTCGGCGAGTCCCAGGAGGCGTTGCGCCCTGGCAGCAGGTATGAACTCTGACTTGCCCCTCACAAGCTGGTAATGCTGGATGGCGCAGTGCGACAGGAGCTAGCAAGAGAGCAGTAGAAGAGTTCACAGCAAGTTGCAAGAATGCCAAGCAGCCAGCAGCCAGGATTGACATCCCCGATACTCACAAGGAGCCGGGGCTGGCTATCAAGAAAACCCACAGATGGCATTGAAGTTGACGCGCAAGCGTCCCTGCCAACAGGACATTTGGATGTCAATCACTGCAACTTCGGATTCTGGGGATGTGAACTGCCTGACGGCACTGTCAGATAGCTTGTTCGTGGCCGGGTCCATGGATGGCTCGCTGCGGTTCTTCGATAGCGACGAAGGCCAGGCTGCCGGCAGCCTAACGCAATGACCTTGGTTGTTTTTTTTTCCGGCTGCCTGGCCTCTAGGTCGGGAAAAGCCAGGTAATATCCTGCAGTCACTGTGTCCTTTACAGTTTCTACCGCAGATAGCGCTCGTGTATCGCAATAGGCCTACCTAGCCTCGGCTACTCGTCTCTGTGAGGCCGTGCTCTGGCGGTCCGCCATCACAGCCAAGCAAGTGGGCCCGTGCTGTGCCTGCTCTTTATCCGGAGAGAGAGCGCCCGGAGCCTAGAGTGCTGCTATGCCGCTGGCAACCATGCTTGAGTAACTGCTTGTTGTCCTTCGGCGTTTCCCGAAGGATGTTTTGATTTGCGTGAGAATGTCCGAGGATTCGCCGAGCTCATCTCATCGCGGTGATGAGTCGCCCTTGGAAACTCAGACAGAATGTAGACATATGTGGAATTACTTGGCTCATGCAGCACCCAAGACGCATTTTGAGATTTTGTGGGACTGGAAGGAAAGCTTGAACAGCCCTGCAGAGAGCACATTGGCTTCGCCCCGATCGCCCACTGGACTCGGGCCGATACCCTTTGGGCGGACGCGTTCCGACGAGCTGCCTCCCGGCGGATTTGTGAAGCGTGTGTGGGACAAGCTTGAGCGAACAACTTTAGCGGTCTGCAGCAAGGCACAGCAAGTCCATGTCTGCAGCAGATCTAGGCCGGCACCATTGAGATACGGGCTATTCATTGAAGAGTCAGGATTCAGGGTTTTGGAAAGGCGTGGCAAAGCTGAAGCTGAACAGCGACATCCTCGAGACACGTGTGCCGAAGGCAACCACCTTGGATTTGAGCCTCGGCTGCTTTACATCATTTTGCAGCAGATTGGGACGCGTGCGGTCAAAAGGCCCAGAGGGGTGTTCTCCTTTCGCTCAGAGGCTGCTGTCCACATCGATCAATGAGCTGCGTGTCTGGGATGTTACCGCGCTGCTCCAGGCGAAGGCTGGTAGCACAATCAACGAAGCTGAATGCTATTTGAACAAGCATTGGCAATTCTGACCGAGAGGAGTCATGCGATGATGACACGAGCGTGCCCTGTTTATTCTGCACCTTGATGCAATGCCCAGCTTGCCAGGCTTGCATGAGCGCGGAGAATCTGAGGTTTCCATTTTGCTCCGAACCAGGGACACCTTCTGAGTGTTGCTGGCAGCCTGCAAACAGCTCTTTGGCCTGAACTTGGGAAGGTCTTCTTGACAAAAGATGGTCAGTCAATTCTCAGGATCCACCAGATGAAGATGAAGAGTGCTTGCTCAGGTATTCTTGGGCTTTCAGAGCACCAACCTCTTTTGCCTCCGCCTTCTGGACGGATGGGCCA